ATTGTAGGGGTTGAGGATGTTCCACTTCAACAGGACACTTGCGTAGATCTGTCTGAACTAGATGTTGATGAGGAGATTTTCTTAATAGACCATCGGAACAGGCAACCTGAAGATCTTCCCGATGATACAGAAGAAGAAGGTGATGATGAGTTTGCTGAAACCGATGATGACGATTTGGCGGAAGAAGACGGTGATGGTGATGAAGTAATAGAGGAAGATGAATCTGACTGAGTTTCATGCATTGTATTTAGTGAATGTTTGTTATTATGTAATTTGTAACTTTGTTTGTTTGAATTTTTTAAAAACCATAAAATTCGATTTTACGATGGTTTTTCTAAACCCTAAACCCTAAGTCTAGGTTTTTAGCCCTGAATGAATAGGGTTTCAACATTACGATGTCTTTACGACGAACCATCGTAAAATCGTCGTAAAGTTACGATGGTTTACGACGAAATACACTATTTCGTCGTAAAAGCGTCGTAATGTTGAAATCCAAGAATTTGAATCTTTTATATCTTATTGGTTGTAAGGTATTTCACAATTGTTTTTGATTGGTTATCTTATTTTATATGAAATGCTATCAATCTGATCAAAATCAAAAATTTGAAAAAAACCATACATATTTACAAGTTCATGCATGTTTTCGAAAATGTTAAGTGAAAGGTTATATATTAGATTACGGAATTTCATTTTTTACTATCTCATGTCATAAATCCATCATACATGCAAAGTTGTAAACCTTTTATTATATATTAAGATACAATAACCTTTGCATTGTTATTTATGCAATACCCCATTTATAAGATTTAGGGTTTACTCACTTTTTTAAAAAACATTATAAAACCGTCGTAATATAATCATAAATTTACGACGGTTTTACGACGATTATACCCAAAATCGTCGTAAAACCGTCGTACCGTTTGCACCGGATAGACTCTTGATCCGAGGTACGAGGTTATAAATGTTTAGACGTTACGACGATTTTACGACGGTTTTGGGTTTAATCGTCGTAAAACCGTCGTAAAGTTACGACGATTTTACGACGATCACATCACGACACGTGTCGTGTCATGCAGTGGACCGACTGTTATACAACCAAATCGTCGTAAAACCGTCGTAAAGTTATGACGATTTTACGACGATCACAAAATCTATATAAGGGACGCGAGTTTTTCCCTTTCGTCGCTCATTCCTCTCTTCCGCCTCTCTCTCTATAAATCTCTCTCTCTCTAAAAAACTAAATCTCTCCCTCACTCACTACTTTCCCGACCAATTAATTGTAAGTTTTAAAAAAAAAATAATTTCATTACATATTATTTTAGATTTAGGTTCGGAATTTAGATTTAGGTTCGGAATTTAAATTTAAGTTTCGGAATTTAGATAGGCACTGATTTTGTAAATTTTAATAAATATTTGAAAAATTAGTAACTAATTTTTTAAAATTTTGTAGATTCTGTCTCGATGGCTCCTCGGGCTAAGAGATTTCACTACCGACAGCTCGTCGACTCTGACGGTACGGCCCCGTCTACCTCGGCGACCGGATCAGCCATCCTGGAGTCCTCGGGAACACAACGGACGGTTTCCCAACCGGTCGTTGTTCCGCAGCCGGCACCGCCTCCACCACCACCAGCCGAACCAGCGGCTCCCGCACAGGCCGAGCCTGAGGCTGATCCGATCCCGCCTGTACCGTATGCCCAGTTTACGGTACAGGATCTTCTGGCGCAACCCGGTCGTGGGACCATGAACAAACTGGACCCGGATCGAGCCCCCGGCATCTTTTGGTACGTTATTTTTTGCCTATAATATTTTTAAATTAATTAATATTTATTCTTATATATTTGATATTAATTAACTATTGCTCTTTCCATTTGACTAGGTTTACGACCGACAATGCAGTCGGTCGTAACGTTGCGGATATCATCAAGGGGTTTTTCGTACAACCCCATACCAGCTGGAAGAAGCTGGATCAGGCCACACTTGACACTTGGTTTAAGTGTTTTGCGGTAAGTAATTTACCATTTCCTTTAATTTTAATTTTAAATTTTAACTTTTTACAATAATTACTAACTTCTTTTTTTTCCTAGCAAAACTGGCATTGGGAAACATCCGCACACGGACGTGTGGAGACGGCCTTCAAGGAGAATGTCAAATTCCGCCTCAACAACACCGTTTCCGACTAGAAACGGAAGTGGGAGGTCGACGGCGACAAGGCCAAGCCGGCGCCTATGTCCAATACCGTCTGGCGGGGCCTTGTCCAGTACTGGTTGGATCCGCACAACCAGACTACGGCCGCCAAGTGTTCCAGATCTAGGTAAGTCGTAGTTAATTTCAATAATATTTACATTATTTTTTTCTTATAATAGATTCTAATCAAAATATTTTTCAGGAATGCTACTGACGATGCGGGAAATCGGAAGAACGTCCCGCACACTTCCGGCCAGATTTCTTTTGCCGGAAAACGGCTTATGATGGTAAGTAAATTAAAATCATTAATTTTTTTGTTTTCAAATAATTAACTCTTATTTCTTGATACTAATTAATTTTTTTCATTTTGATTTTGTAGGTCGAAGATAACGGAGGAGAACTTCCTCCCATAACGAAGGTTTTCGCCGAGACGCATAAAAAGCGTAACGGCGAATTCACAGATCCTCGAGCGGAGGAGATCTACAACGCCGCTTGTGCGGCGATCGAGGAGCGACAGACGCAGGTGACTCAGCAGGCGTGTCAAATGTCTCCCGAAGGTAGCTCGGTCCAATCGACCCCGGCGCTGACGGTGGCGGAGATGGACCAGATCTTCGAAGAGGTAATTTTAATTACTATTTTTAATTAATGTAACTTTAGTTTTAAATTATATTTCTAACCATAATGTTTTTAAATATGTGTAGGTTGCCCCAAAGAAAAAGGGGCGGATATTAGGGATGGGGTCCATCCGTGATACCCCGAGAGCTACGGCGACTAGTCACGTCCGGGTCCCGGATCCGGTTATCCGCCAGGAGATCGATCAGATGCGGACCCGGTACGAGACGAGGATTGACCAGCTCTACGGTCTATTCAAGATCATGGGAGCCGACAACCCGGTACTCATGGCGCAGTTGGACAAGCTGCGGGCTGATGGGGTTGTCGGATCGTCTGTCGCCGGGTCATCCACTAGGACGCAACCGCCGGTGCAGACGGACGAGGAGATGTTCCGATCTCTCGGGGTTGAGCCTCCTAGAGCCGGAGATCAGGCGCCGGCGGAAGCATCAAACCGAAGACTCGGCAAGGAACACGTCCAGGACGATGGGGAGGAGGCCGGTGACGGAATCGACGGGATCGATTTAGATTTAGATTTAGATCTGTAGGGTTTTTTGTAAATTACAATTAATTTTAATTTCAAATTTTCATAAATTTTAAATTGTAAATTATTTTTTTTATTTAAATTTTAATTCGAATTATTTTTTTTTAATTTTCAATTATATTAAACGTCGTATAATCGTCGTAATAGATTTATTCAAACCGTCGTACATTCGTCGTAAATATTACGACGAATTTACGACTACAATGTACAACGACAAATACGACGATTATATGTCCGAGAGTTACGACGATTTTACGATGAAATGAAGAAATACTTTACGATTGATTTACGACGATTCATGCGTCGTACATTTTACGACGATCTTACGTCGACCATTAACGACCACTTAACGACGGTCTAGGCGAAGACCAAGTCGACGCAATTCGATGTAAACTCGTCGTAAACTGTACGGCGCATTTACGACGATTTTGTTTCCCTCGACGTTACGACGAAACAAAACCGTCGTATATTATACGACGATTTTACGACGAATTGTCTATTACAAAGATGACTTTACGAGGATTTCGAAATCGTCGGTGTCATTACGACGAATTAACGACCATTTCAGCTGTTGTAAAATGATGTTTTTCTTGTAGTGCATGGAATTAATTTCTAAGTGACAATCCGAACAGTCATGAGGTTTGATCACATGCCTAACTGCAGAACACAAGGGCTTGGGGGAGTAAGTAAATGAAATAGTAAGGCTCGCACAAGGAATTACATAGTGAAGAATTTTTTTTGCAAAGTCTTCCTTATTTTAATTAACTAGAAGAAAAAACAAACTTTGATTTTTCTTTGTAGGAATTGTGGACAATTATTAATTGAGTATCATTTTTTTCACTCGGAGAAGAGGCCAAGTTTTAAATATAAACCAAAGAAATTTTGCACTAATAAATTACCTTTTAATGAGTGGATTATATTTTGTTAATCAACTTGTTTGAAAATAATCGACTTCCCTATATCATTAAGGTAGAATAATGACAGAATTATTTATTATTTTAAGGATAAAAATCTCAAAACTTGTGACTGGAAGCCAACAACGGTCAATTGCAAGAGTTAACAGGAGGTTTCTTTTGACTTGACTCATCATGAAATTGAAAGAATACATTTATGATATGATCACTCTTTGAAGATGCTGGGATCGAATTACTTTCTTGTATGATAATGATCCACTATCTTCAAACAGTGATCATATCATAATTATATTCAATCGGATCCACTATCTTCAACTGAGAGAATTTGTTATGAAGATTTTTCTTGTATTGACTTAAAATGAAGAAGACATGTATACAACCAGTCACAGAGCAGTGACTATCAAGACAAGAAGCCCAATCAGAGGTGGGAAAACAATTTGACCCGAAACTCTCAAGCAAAAGAAAAGACCAATCCTTGGCCGACAGTCCTTTTATTTACAAGGACTTTTAATCCGACTTTGAGTAATTTCTCTAAAACGTACAAAAATACTCTTCTCCAATTTATTTTCTTCAAGTAAAACTTAAACCATGATACAATTTCACTTGAAGGGGTCATAATATACATATATATATATATATAATCCATCAACAATATCGTAAAAAAAATAAGAAAAACAAATCTCAAAACATGATTACATGATAACTGAATTACGGTAGCGACTTAAACGTACAGAAAAAGATTTTTTTTATTAGTTGACAACGCGACAGTTTCTGCGAATCTCACCACCTTCATCTCCAAGTGTAAGGACTTTGATGGAACTCATCTTGATCATAGACCGACCAAACTGAGCAAGAAAACTGCCGGAGTCTTGGAAAGCACTAGCAATGGAAGCAGCGGAGCGATCAGTCAACAAGGCGGCGTCGGAGGTGAATAGTCCTTTGTGTTGGAGGAGAGAGAAGAAGTAGCCACTATCAAAGGAGAGAGCTCCGGTGGGGTCCATTCCGACCACTGCGGAAGAGTTGAGTCTTAGAGATTTGTCGGAACATTTGGATTTGAGGAAAGAAGCGTAGCTAGAGTTCAGTGAAGGATCTGTGTCTCCTTTCCCGGTGAAGTTCAAGAGTCTCCGACCAAACACACCGCAACGTGCTGTTCCTATTGTGTGTGCTCCTGTTTCATACATTTTCTTTTCTTTTAATTTAGCTTAAAATCATCTCAAACTTTTATCAACGATATATATCTCAAAAAGTTCCTCAGCAAATGATATAATATTACTAAAATTTTGCCTTTAAAAAGTTGTTTGCATTCAACACAAATAAAAAGTTTTAAGTGATAAATAGTTAATTATCAGATGATTTCTAAGAAAATTAATGGAAAATTCTCGAATAATGACCACGTGGGAAGTTTCTTCCATGATTCTCCTAATCTCCTCAAATATATGATGTTCAAAATATATATTTTTTTTTCATAGTATATACGATATTATACTACTTCTTGAATATTGGAAGAAAACGTTGTAGCATTCCCATAAACTTCGTAACATGGACATGCACGTGGTCTGATATTCCCGCGATCTTCATAAAGTTGGTTTTTAATTTACTTGGTACCTTAATAGTAACGTATGAATATTGTGTATATGATTACCAAAATATTAAAAACAGAAAATAAAGAAATGCTAAAAAACCTGATAAAGCCACGAGGTCAACGACGTCCAAATCGCTCTCGGCAAAGAGTTTCAGTAGAGAGGTGAAGTTTGCACCAGCGGAGGGTAAGTCTCTGGCGGCTTCCGTCGCCAATGAAACTTTTCCATCAACACGTCCGGTGAAAACGTTCCATAACGGCCTTCCAAACTATATAACATCAAGTTCCGGATTCATCATTTCCATAAAATTTACCCATGATTGATTAGTAAAAATGATATTTTCCAATCATGATATATATCTACATGAGATTGTTTATGTATATTACTTGGTACGAGACGGCGTCTCGGGTGGCTAGGGTGAGAATGTCTGCGCAAGACACGGTTTTAGGGCATCTTTTTTCGAGAATGGACTTGATCTCATCGATGATTTCGAACCCGGAAAGCGAAAGATTAGGTCTCGCTTCCTTCTCGGATGCTGCTTTTCCAGCAACTGAATCTAAAAGCAGCGACGCGTCGCAACCCTGAATATGATCAGTGAATTACATTAGACTTGTCTTCAATACAAAAAATGTTCATGAAATGAAAAGGAAACGTTTTAGAGCAATATATTAGATCTTCAGGATTATTATCATACCCTAACAAAGCAATCATGGTAATGAACTCTCAGTAACTTGGGAGACAAGCTAGGGTTAGCTTTGACTTTTTTCCATACAATCTCTCTCACGATATCCTCGGCTTCAGGGCAGGTCTTGTGATAGAATTTCATCTTCAGCTTACCCTCCCATCTTCCTCTTCTTATCTTATGGTCATCATGTTGATGACCATTATTATGACTGAATCTCTTACCATCAACACAAAGTAAAACAGCTAAAAACAAAACAAGCGGAAATAAAAACCGAATCGCTACAATTAGCTGATTCTTAGCCATGACTCGTGATGTTTAGGTTTGCTTGGAAGTGTCTGTTCTAGTTGTATATTAGGAATGCACTTGGAAGAGTTGCTTTATAGTGAAACTATAGGCTCCATACTCCATTTGCTCGTTTATTCTTTTTTGCTTTTTCGGAGTTTTTTAAATGGATTGAATGATTATTGAAATAATTATATATCTGGGTGGCCAAGCAAAGTTCCCTGTATGTGCTGTGAGAATGAAGGATTAATTATTAAGTTACAAGTCAACAACAAATCATTTAGCTTCATTAGCTGAACCATAACGTGAAGATTCATAATGCAGATATTACAAATTATAAATTTCACCGCAATTTAGATTAGTTCAGGGCTTCAGGCAATTTTTGTTCTTTTTTTACTTTCACTGTCTTCTGAAACTTTACTGCACAGATTTAAAAATACCATTAACCAGCGCAATGACACAAGTCGTTTTCTAGTGAAATCTAATTTAGCTCTTATAAATTTTAAATTTCAAATGTATAAATAAATACAAGATAGTATTTTATGCTGAAGACAAATGCTCTCATTGACCCTGTGATTCTTCTTTTTCCTTCAAGGCATCAACGGCAACATTATCCTTACTATGGTCGTTTGCATTACCAACTTCTTCCACCATCTGTGTGGGCTCCTTAGTTTCAACTAGATTCCTCGACAAATCCTCTGGCTGAACCGAAATGGTCATATCGCTGGCTTCACCATCAATCATGTTTCTCTCGTCTGATGGGTTCTCGACCTTTCTCTCTTCCTCTGAACTTAATGCAGAAGACAAATGCTCTAGTTGATCCTTTGGTTCTTTTTCCTCCAAGACACCAGTGGCCACATTATCCTCACTATGGTCGTTTGCATTACCAACTTCGTCCCCCATCTGTGTGAGCTCCTTAGTTTCAACTAGCTTCATAGACAAATCCTCTTGCTGAACCGAAATGGTCTTATCGCTGGCCTCACCATCAATCATGTTTCTTTCGTCGGATGGTTTCTCGGCTTTGGCATCTTCCTCTGAACATAATGCTGAAGACATATGCTCTAGTTGATCCTTTGATTCTTCTTTTTCCTCCAAGACACCAATGGCCACATTATCTTCAGAATGATCGTTTGCACTACCACTTTCCCCCATATGTGTGGGCTCCTCAGTGTCAACTAGATTCCTCGACAAATCCTCTGGTCGAACCAAAATGGTCATATCGCCGGCTTCACCATCAATCATGTTTCTTTCGTGAGATGGGTTCTCGGCCTTGGTCTCTTCCTCGGAACTTAATGCTGAAGACAAATGCTCTAGTTGATCCTTCGATTCTTCTTTTTCCTCCGAGACACCAATAGCCACATTATCTTCAGAATGGTCGTTTGCATTACCAACTTCCCCCATCTGTGTGGGATCCTCAGTTTCAACTAAATTCCTCGACAAATCCTCTGGCTGAACCGAAATGGTTATACCGCTGGCTTCACCATCAATCCTGTTTCTCTCGTCCGATGGGCTCTTGGCCTTGGTCTCTTCCTCAGACCTTAATGCTGAAGAAGAATGTTCTCGTTGTTCCTTTGATTCTTCTTTTTCCCCCAAAACACTAGTGGCTACATTATCTTCAGAATGGTCACTTGCATCACCAACTTTCCCCATGTGCGTGGGCTCCTCAGTTTCAGCTAGATTCCTGGATAAATCCTCTGGCTGAACCGAAGCGGTTGTACAGCTAGCTTCACGATCAAGCCTGTTTCTCTTGTCCGATTGGTTCTCCGCCTTTCCCCCCTCTATCACTGGGAGAGACGAAGGGATTTCTGTACCTTCAAATAAATTGAAAGATGTATTTATTAATACAAATATATTTAGATTTCTTTGTTGCTGAAAAAAGAAAAAAAAAGTTTTCTTTTGTTGTCCCTAACGTAATCATGCTACAAGATATGTCATTGAATTAATGAACGTGCATACCTCCCACTTGCTCTTGAGGTTCTGAGAAACATCCAGTCGAGACATCAGCCATCTCACATCCAGAAAATTCAACTTGTTCTTTATCCTCAATATTTTTTCGCTCAACTGTAAGAGACGATGAAGGCTGGACATCAGCTCGACCTCCCACTTGCTCTGCAGAGGAAGGTAACTTAACTTGAGGTTCTGACAAACATACAGTCGAGACATCAGCTATCTCACATCCAGCAGTTTTAACTTGTTCTCTATCCTCAAAGTTTTCTTCCTCAGCTGTAAGAAACGATGAGGGCTGGACATCAGCTAGTGTATCTACGGCCATAGAAGCACTTGTCTCACTGTCGGATGTATAATCTTTGCCGGCTTCAAGGTCTTTGCATTCCTCTTGTTGCATACCATTCTTAGTTTTCTTTTCTTCAGCTGAAATAGAGGGAGACGTCTGGACATCAGTGTTGCAAATACGATCGACTTCAACAGCTTCGGGATCTTTCGTTTCTTCCAGTCCAGTGATAATATCCTCAGTATCCTTTAGCTCCCCCAAACTGGTGGACAAGAGCTGGAGATTAGCTGATTTATTTTCCGGCATAGCAGAGGTTATCTCTACCTCAGATCCTTCGCACAATTGAGCTCCTAAATCCATTAGTTCAACTATTTCTGAGTTTGGACGAAGTTCAGGCTGTGACAAGTTATTGTCATTCTCCTCCTCAGACTGGATAGAAGATAAAGGCAGACACGTTTTCCCTAAAATGCTGCCACCAGAGATATCCATCTGCTCACAATTTTTATCCTCTGATTTTCCTGGCGTAGCGTCTGGCAAAATACTCGGAGAATGATTTTCCTCTGACTGGAAACCCACAATGTTCTTCGCTGCTTCCTGAGGTGATGCAGGCTCCTCCCCGTGTTCTTGCAAATTATCAGGTACTAGGCCAACCAGGGGTATACCTGTTTGATCCTGTGACAAAGAGTGAGACACTTTCAAATCCTCTGATACATCTAGGACTTGCCCAGAGGAGAGATTCAATTTTCCTCCATCAGACATACTCTCTGACATGTCAACATCACTTGTATCTGTATGAGCATGGGTTTCAGATTCAAATCCTTCATGTCCCATCACATCCATTGGACAAGAAACATCACGCTTTACAGGTAAACCAGTATCTTCACCATCTTTTACCTTCTCAAAAGGGGCAGGGCTAACGGCATTATCATTGGGCATACTGGATTGAAGAGTGTTCTCTTTCTCCTCACTCTCAACTGAATAACCCACCGGAAGTTTGGCATCATCAGCATCCTCCATCTCTGTGTCATTTTCAGCATCCCCAACAATCACAGACAACTCAGTGCCATCATCCTGGTTTGCAACCAATCCAATCAGATCACCAGACCTAGGGTGATGATTTTTCTCGTTGATTGGGTTATATGAAGATCCAGGATTCTTAAGAACAGAAGAAGCCTCTTCAATTACAATCTGGTCTGCAAGAGCTCCCTCAGTGGAAACCTTAGGTGGAAAATTCGAAGTATTGCCTACAGGAATTATTTCAGCCTTTTCGGAAGCAACAGAATCACTGGAGCCAGTAGGATTTACGGCATCGTTTTTCTCAGGATCAAGAACACACTTCAGATCATCAGATTTAGATGTCTGACACCCTTTTTCTAGAAAATTTCCAGATGTGGAAACACTCATCTCCAAAGTGCTTTTAGCCACAGAATCATTCAGATTTTCTGGTACCTCAGTACTAGTTTTAGAAAAGTTGCCATCACCATCAGATTCAGCGGAATTAGGAGTAATGCAACAATCCAAATCAACACCGCTAGATCTATGGATTTCAGGTGACTCAGTTTTCCTTGGAGAACCCTCTTCTTTGGATGCTGAAGGCATTTCGGAATCTTCAACAACATTAACAGGAAAAATTGGAACAGTTTTCAAAGAATCCTTTGATCTCAGTCCAACAATATTTTCAGTCATCGTCATGGCTCCAGGAGAAACCGAAGGTGATATCGATGCCCCTTCCTGTTTGTTAGAAGCCTCAGCGAAATCAGCGGTAGGAGCTGGTAACATTTGCCCAGAACCATCATCCTGAGACTTTAGTGGTCGACTTTCTTTGTTTATCTCAAGCAAATCCTTCTCCACAAGGGTTTCCGAATCAATGGCGACAGTGCCTTGAGCTGAAGTATCATCAGACTGATCAACAGGAGTAATGCGACAATCCAAATCAACACCGCTAGATCTATGGATTTCAGGTGACTCAGTTTTCTTTGGAGAACCTTGTTCATTGGATACTGAATGCATTTTGGAATCTTCAACAACATTAGCAGGAAAAACTGGAACAGATTCCAAGGAATCGTTTGATCTCAGTCCAACCATATTTTCAATCATCGTCCTTGCTCCAGGAGAAACCGAAGGTGATATCGATGCCCCTGCCTGTTTGTTAGAAGCCTCAGCGATATCAGCGTTAGGACCAGCATCCTCAGACTCTAGTGGTCGACTTTCTTTATTTATCTCAAGTAAATCCTTCTCCACAAGGTTTTCCGAATCAATGGGGATAGTGCCTTGACCTGAAGTATCATCAGGCTGATCAACAGGAGTAAGGCGACAATCCAAATCAACACCGCTAGATCTATGGATTTCAGGTGACTCAGTTTTCTTTGGAGAACTCTGTTCATTGGATGCTGAAGGCATTTCGGAATCTTCAACAACATTAACAGGAAAAATTGGAACAGTTTCCAAAGAATCCTTTGATCTCAGTCCAACAATATTTTCAGTCATCGTCATGGCTCCAGGAGAAACCGAAGGTGATATCGATGCCCCTTCCTGTTTGTTAGAAGCCTCAGCGAAATCAGCGGTAGGAGCTGGTAACATTTGCCCAGAACCATCATCCTGAGACTTTAGTGGTCGACTTTCTTTGTTTATCTCAAGCAAATCCTTCTCCACAAGGGTTTCCGAATCAATGGCGACAGTGCCTTGAGCTGAAGTATCATCAATCTGATCAACAGGAGTAATGCGAGAATCCAAATCAACACCGCTAGATCTACGGATTTCAGGTGAAGCAGTTTTCTTTGGAGAACCCTGTTCATTGGATGCTGAAGGCATTTTCGAATCTTCAACAACTTTAACAGGAAAAACTGGAACACTTTCCAAGGAATCCTTTGATCTCAGTCCAACCATATTTTCAGTCATCGTCATGGCTCCAGGAGAAATCGAAGGTGATATCGATGCCCCTGTCTGTTTGTTAGAAGCCTCAGCCAAATCAGCGTTAGGAGCTGGTAATCTTTGCCCAGAACCATCATCATGAGACTCTTGTGGTTGACTTTCTTTGTTTATCTCAAGCAAATCCTTGTCCACAAGGTTTTCTGAATCAATGGAGACAGTGCCTTGAGCTGAAGTATCATCAGACTGATCAACAGGAGCCTTAAATCCCGGTGAAGGTTTTACAATATCATGTAACATCAAAGAAGAACCAGAAATTTTAGTTTCTTCTGAAACATTGGAAACAGATGCTGGTATTCCCAAGTTTGGATCTGTTGATGTCGCTACTTTCAGTTTCGTCTCAACCAACTCTCCACCCACAGAAATTTTTGAGTCAATGAGCATATTACCTTGAGGTGTTATTTCATGAGACTGAGAAACAGCAGCCTCAATGTCAGGTGAAGTTTTGTTAGTCTCATCAATCATCACTGAAGACCCAGACTTCTGCTTTTCGGCTGAAAATTTGGAAACAAATGTTTCTACTCCCAAGTTTTGATCGGCAGGTTGGATTATATTCATTGCCCTGCTGGTATTAACTATGTGCATGTTCATCTTTTCCGGGGATTTCCCATCAGGCTCATTTGTTCCTGCTGTTTCAGAAGGCTCCCCAACTTTATGTTTTACCAGAGTCTCTGAAAATATCTCTTTCATGACGCGAGCAACATCAGTCACATCAGTAGTTTGTTTCCTTCCAGAGCCAACAATACCTGATGTTTCTTTTCTTTTTTCCTGACTTGTAGTGGCAAAAGAGTGTGCAACTGACTGGCTGAAATGGGGTTGTTCTTGGGCAACAATATCACACTTATTTCCCACTGATGTAGTTTTGGAGCCTGATGAATCACCAACCTTGACCTCAATTTGAGGTGTTGATCTTGTACTCCGTGCAGAAGAGCCATCAGTAGCAGGTACAGCTTGAACATGTCTCCTTCCTCGGCGTCTAGGAGTTTCTCCTCTGTTTGGCATCTTCCGACCTTGCCTCTTAACAGGCAAGGTTGCAGGAGGAGAAAGAACACTGGCGTCTTGTGCTGCAAAAAAGATAGTGCATAACGGTAAAATTGAGAACCCAAAGCAGATTAAGTTTGTTTAAAGATGCTTCAAATATCTGTACCTTCAACCGTAGAAGAAACAAGATGTGGACTCAATGGCCGACAAGCATCTAAAGGTGCATTTGTCAAGGTAGCAGAAGCTGTATAAGTTCGACCCTCCGGATATTTATTTCTTTCATGCTCAACGGAGGCTACTGAAGTACTTTGAGATCCATCAGAAACAGAAGTGACAGCTCTCTGATTTTGCCCTGGCGGATGACCTGTAAAAAACATTGATGTTAAAAATATCTTCTGATGAATATATGTGAAAACTATTGAGCGATCTGCGAGTTATATACCTAAAGCAGTAGAGCTTGCTACGTTAACTAATTGTTTCAGAACTCCTGAACCCTGGTTATTTCTCATTTCTGGAATAGCAGGCTTGTTCTTTACCACATCTGAATTTTTTCCCAAGGAATCCTCCGATATATTTAGCGACTGAACATGTGATCCAGAACCAAAACCAGGCGGTGCATCTAGATCTGCTGCTACATCTGGTTGGTTTTTAATGCACTGTAGACTACTCGCCTCTAGGGAGACAGCAGGAGAGGGCTGCACAGCAGTAGAATCAGAAGTACTTCCTTCGATAAGTTTAGGGACTTTCGCTTTAATTTCAGCCGAAGAGACGGGAACAGTTACTAAATTTGACGCTACGGGATCACCAGAAGGAGATGCAAGGGCATTACTTCTCTGAGTACTTAAGGAACTTTCAGTACCATGCAACATACTTTCCACTCTCCTTCCCCTTCCTGCGCCACGTCCCCTGCCTCTTCCCCTGCCCCGACCCCTCGTTGGCATTGGAGTAGAGTTGGAGTCTGGAAGTGGTTGAAAACCAGGAGGAACTGATATATTTGGTGAAGTAAGAGGGCGAGCCGAACTAGATGTTTCATCCTTTCCTCTAGGGATAGCAACATCAGAACCAATAATTGCCAATGATCTAGCCTCCCCTGTTGCATGTGTCCTGCCTGGAACTGATACAGCTAAATGATTCAACGTTTTATCGGCTCTTTTGGGCCTACCACGGCCCCGTTTTACAGGTTCTGTTACTTCTTTCAGTGGCTGCTGTAATTTCTGTAGAGGTTCAACGAGCTGTGAAGTCAGTGCCGATGCCAGAGATGTGGGGAGCGTAGTGTCTCCAGTGTTTCCAGCCAGAATATCTACTTTATCATTTTCCGAGCGCTTTTCACCACTGTTCCCAGCCACAGTATTTGGTGTAGCATTTGTCAAGCTCTTTTCACCAGTGTTTCCACCCAGAATACTTGATGTGTCATTTGCCAAGCTCTTCTCATTCCCTTCTTCCTTGTCTCTGGGAGAATCGGTTGACTCGGTCTGACACAGCTTTTCAAACTCCTCTTCTGTCAGTTGCTCTTCATAAGATCGAACCTTATGAAGTTGCAATTTTGTCAATTTAGTTTAATAAGCAAAGGTCCTACCAGCAGTATCATATTAAGGTCGACAAGTGAATGTTAAAATAAGTTTACTCAACAAACCTCTCTTGCTCGTTTGCCTCTTCCATATTGCTGAGTATCAAAGCCTCCTACCGAACCACCCTTCCGTTTCATGCCAACATTTGATTCTACTGCAACCATCGGGACATTATTTATTTTCATTGCTTCATATAGCAGCTTTAAGTCATCCTCAGTAACAAGACGAGAGGGGATAGGTGGTATAGGTGCAACACTTTTTGACCCTGGCCCCTGTACCAAGCTCTTCCATGTTTCCTGCAGAGCCATGGCAGATAAATTAAACATCATAAAACTTAGAATAAACCAAATATAAAGTTATTAAGAACAAACATACCATCTCATCCTCTTTTCTTTGTTTGTCGATAGATTCAAAGATATCGATCTCTGACTCCCTAGAAAGATAACAGAAATGTCAGATTTACATGAAAAAAAAAAAAAAGAGTTCCATCTAAGACAGAAGAAACTCAGCCTATCATATAACAGAGAACATATGGAAGTACCGAGTACCCAGAAGTTTATATGCGGATAGAAAATATTTGTATGGAAAACGATAGCAGATAACTACTTTACAGTTGGAAAGTCAAAATACTTTGTACAAACCTGTTTGCAATAATCATAGTGCGCAATTTAAGGAACCAAATAAAATCAAGATACAAGCAAAGGTAATATTATGAAAGAAAATGATAAACCTTCGTGCTATAAGATCATTCAAGGCATCATCGTCCAACACTGGAGCAGCCTCTTCTTTCTTTGACTCACGCAATAAGGACTCTAAATATTCCTTACGATCTTCAGCGCTGTTACAAAACAACAAACTGATTACATTAGAAAGTTGGTACTTGGTAGCTAGTACCTTTGAAGCAAAAAATGGACGTCTCTGGATTCACCTAGTGTTATTGTCGAAGAAGCCAGCAGTTATACTCTGGTTAGCAACTCCAAGTTTATGTTCCGCTGAAGCTCTAACTTGTTCCTCAACAGTATTGACCTTAGGATGCAAGGAAGAACAGAAGACAACCAGTTCAGACGGTTCAGTTGAAGAATAAAGTATCAGTGGAAAGGAACACACTGAGTACAAATCAGAATGTCTCAAGGCTATATATTAAGCCATGACAAAAAAAAAACAATATATTTAAGATACCTGCACTACATTAAGAAGCCACAAAGATTAACTGAAAGAAAATAAAACAAAGAAATTTGAATTCCTTGCAGAAATAAATAAACTAACCGTTTCAAAACGAAGAACTAGAACATCTCTTTTCTGGCCAATCCTGTGAGCCCTTGCTTGAGCTTGCAGATCAACCTGAAATAAATAATAAATGCTCCTCAAAGTCCGAACTGATGTCCACAGGATACTATAACTTGACATGAGGGTCTGTCATGTTTAACCTGAGGATTCCAGTCGGTGTCAAATATTATTACAGTATCAGCAGCTTGCAGATTAACTCCTACTCCACCAGCCCGTATACTGAATTCCAATGAAAGATTCAGTTATCAAATCCAGACACTTATAAGTATTACAGCTACTTTACTATGACCGGCAGAGAGTTTAATGATAACATTTACAACTTGTAATTCCGAATGTAACAATAAGTAACATGAATCATTCTGATAAAGCTCAAAGATAAAGAAAGCAACCGTGAAATATCATGCATTACCTCAACAAAAATATGAAATATGGTGAATCAGACTTGTTGAAACCATCGATAAGAGCGCCGCGATCACCCCCAGATGTGTGCCCATCTAACCTAAGGTATTTGTATCCCTTGAAGGTGAGATAATCCTCCATAACATCAAGAAGCCTAGTCATTGTTGAAAAGAAGAGAACCTGCGGAAATTCATACCGAAAAAAAAAGTTGCAAACACTTATATGCATCTGCAGTCAAATTAGGGTCAACATGCAGCAGAGTATCAAATCATGGCATCATTGTGCATTTTACAAGTAAATAGAATTCGATAAAGTTGAAGCAACAAAGTAAAGGAGAAATGCTAGCTGAATATACCCAGCTCACTCCTCAAACTAGTAATGCTTCATGCAAACAAAGCAAATATAAATTAAGTTCCCGTGATCCACATATTATTACATATATCAGAGGCAAGGGCACTGGAAGGTACTTTACTTGAAAATCTCTTAAGACAGCTTTAATATTCAGCTGTTGTTTCTAGAAATTGAATCCTCAAACTATTCCATTGTCATGATAATGAAGAAAAAATCATTACCCGATGGTCTGTTGCTTTGAGTTTGGGCAAGAGCCGATCCAACATCTCAAGCTTCCCACAGAGTCTGATTACTGGAGGCAGATAATGCTCAGGAATTAAGCTATTGACCTGAAAGTGATTCGCAGGCCCTTCATCAGAACTTTCCTTAGTAAACTAACCAGAAATTCTTTGCATTTATGTAGATCATCTCCGGGAAAATGAAAATATTACCTCTTCTGTATGAAGTTGGCTGAGATATGGATGATTGCAAATATTCCGAAGCTCCATCACTGAGTTGTGCACTGCACGAGACTGTAAAAAAAAAAGCTAAGAAATAACTAAACACTATCACAAAACTGACAATACACCGACCACAAAACAGCACCTTCACGTTTCCAAGAGAGCCTAGATTATCCTCAACTCTTTTCATCAACAGTTTCTGATATGCCGAAGCCTCACACCGTATGAGTCTCTCTATCTTTTCAGGAAGTTCATTCTCAACCTACCATAATATATTAGCTGACACAATTAATTTAAAATTAACAACAACAAAAAAAAAGGAGATGCATAATATCCTACCATATCGTTGAATATAATGAAAGCAATACTAGAACGACAAGGTTGGAGTCTACAAAAAGTAAGGAAAAAAGGAACAATGTTGCAAGGAAGATATCATGTTATCAACCTTATGTTTCAGACGCCGCAACACGAATGGTCGAAGAACTTGGTGAAGACGATTGATGATCAGTAAATTCTCCTCTTCCGATAGCAACGCCTAGTCAAATGGCAATCAAAAGCTTGTAGTTAAAACCACAATGTCTTAAGATTAGTATAACCATTATTATCTGAGTAACATGACTGTCAAGCTACCTCTTCAGCAGAATTATCTCCATTACTTTGAAATGGTTTGTTGAACCACTGTGAAAAGTCTTCTGACGAGTTGAATATATTAGGCAACAGGAAATTTAGCAGAGCCCACAATTCTTCCAGGTTGTTCTGTAAGAAATATAATATACTGAGACGATGAGCGATGTCAACAGCAGAAAATAACAACAAAAAGATAGTAAAATCAAGGGTATGTGTCAAAATATTCATGAGAAGGAGAAGGAATGAAAATTGTACCTGCAATGGCGTCCCAGTTAACAGGAGTCGGTGGGAGCTATTGTAGTGTTTCAGGTCCGCATTTAACTTGCAAGATGCATTCTTTATGCGATGTCCTTCATCAATAATAATGTAATGCCAAAGGATCTTGCTTAATTTAGGCCTATCGTGCTTGTTCATTAGGTATTCATATGTTGTCAGAAGGACATTGAACTTCTGATGAACAATCTGCTCTCTGCAATTAAAACAGAAAATAATGAACCTCAATATCTGAGAGATAACGAACAACAGTAATAGAACTTTGCTCCACATTACTTGAATAGCTTGCGCCTCTCCTCCGGAGGGCCACAATAAACAATTTTCTGAATTGCCGGAGCCCAGAAGTTAATTTCTGACACCCAGCCGGGCAGCACAGAGGATGGTACAACAACCAAAAAGGGCCCTCTATCATTTTTTGTCTCCATCAGATAGCAAATCAACGAAATAACCTGAAAAAGGAAAAAAAAAAATTATAACTTATGCAACAAATACAACTTATAACAAATTCAAACAAATATACCATGTCCACAATGTACCAATTGGGGTGCCATTAAATACCTGAACAGTTTTCCCGAGACCCATTTCATCAGCTAAAATGCCATTCAAATGATTGTTGTACAGGGAAAGAAGCCACCTTAGGCCATTCATTTGGTACCTAAAAAGTGAGATTTTGTAGTTGTAAGCATTCCACGACATACTCTTACCAAAAACTAGAAAGGGCTCAAATGTATAGTTCCATGAGCCAAAAGGCGGGTACTATCCACTTACTCTCTTAGTCTTCCACCTTTTAAAGTAGCTGGCTGCTCGTTAATATTTTCTTTTATACTGCAAAACAATTTCTTGTAAGTAGAGGAATGAGGAAAGATGCTCCAATAAAACCCTATTTTACAAACCACAATTTTAGATAAAAAGTGAAGGCAAACAAAAATGACAATTCAGATATAAAACAGAAAAATTATGAAACTAGAAGTTCATTTTGGATGATATTTGGCAGTATAAAAAGCAGCAACATTACCTGTGAGCCATCAAGTAGTATTTTTCATTGCTTTCCAAGTAGTGCTGTGTAGCATACAGATCGTAACCACATCAGAAACAGATGGAGGAACGCAAAAAGAAATGAAATCTTGGGAAAAATGACTTGCCTTTGCCTGGTCACTCTCATCTTCATTTTCAACCGAAGTTTCATCCTCAACAGCGACCGTCTCATCTGCCTCATTCTCAAATCGACTGGTCAACGATTTTGCCTCCTTTAACTTGGATCCAAGTTTTTGAAGGTACTTTTCTGTCTCTTTGAGTAGTTGCTTTACTCGATCTGACTTGGCATCCTATATATTCGCCAATCTCCTAATTACACAGCATAGAAGAAACATAACCTTAAAACTTCCAAAAGTAGTGCAGAGATCGAACCTGCACCATACGTAGATAACCCTCGACATCATTAATCTTTAACAAATTAATCTTCTCCCGTTGAATTTTGTCAATCTTTTCGCGATGAAAGCGTTCCTTTCTCTTGTGAAACTCCTTTACGTATCTATTGAAACCCTTCCACCTTTCTCTCCTAGCTTTGAATAAATCCTCTAGCCTTTCCCTAAAGCAAGGTTCAAAAAAACTATAAGTTTAAAACAGTTAAACTTAAATAAACAAATGTTCTGTTAGGCTCACAAAATAAGTCAATGAGCAGAATAGACTAGGATAGCAAACAAATTGCACGTACTTGTGAACTTCTATCTCCCCAAAGAACTCTTTCTGCCTCTCACGAATTCTCCTTTGTCGCTCTTCCTTCATCTTCTGCTCATACTTCTCAAGCTGCTTAATTCTCCGGCCATGCTTATGTTTCTTATATGACTTTAGATTCTCAACATCAGTTGCAATGGGTTTGAAGAAGTTGTACAGAAACTCACTGCTTCAACAAATCAACAAAGCACTACAGCCGTTAGCTGATATGACAGGTTAAACATATATACAGATTAAAAAAAAGTTAGCATTCTAGTATGGCATTAACAATAAAATTAACAGAATAGCTAGTTGTATGTCTTGTAAGCACGACTTATTGGGAAAATAGGCATAAAGAGATGTTCAAACATCCATCAACGAGAAATTCAGTCTTAACATTTAGTTACCTCCTCAATCGCCGTTGAAGATTCAACAGCTGAAGCTTTTTCAGTTCTATAACACTCTTGGTCTTTGTAGATATATCCTCCGACGAACTAACCGATTCCTGCAGATTAAGAGGCGTAAATTAGTATAGCCTATATCCAAAAAATAATATAGAACCAAACAAAGTATGGACCAAGTACAAATTAGTTTACTTCAAATGTGAAATTTGTTTTAACAAAATGACCCCAAGGCCAAAGCAAATAATCTCGTCCAATCACAAGAAAAGGATACAGAAACCACCAGAAACAACAAGCATAATGCATAAAGTTGAACACTGAAAAAATTAATCACTAGTAAGAAGTAAGAGGAGTCACAAACTATTAAAAGAAAGAGTCATATGAAAGAAAGGGCAAGAAAGAGACCTTCAACTCATTGAACCGTGCACCAATTGCCTGGTCTGCTTTCTGCTGTTTAAGACTCCAACTCCGATCAACCAAAAGTCTCTTATTCTGTCGATCCATAATCCACTTCTGTGACATGGTGTACTTAGGCGACGGTTGCATATTACCTTCCTCTTGATCTGTAAGGTACCATACATCCATGTTAGAAAAGTAATCAGCAACATTAGTTCAAAGCTTTCCACTCAAAAGAGGCCTATCATCAACAATTCGCTCATCTAAGGTAGTCCACTGACCTGGAGCATATGATTCGTCGAGTAGAAAAGCAGAACTTGAATTGTCATGACGGTTAATAATTCCGGCCCATCCCACCATCTCTGAAGGAGCGTGTTTCGCAAGACTACCCGAAGAAGAAGCCAGCTCAGAATGACTACCAGAAACCTGATTTTGCGCCTGAGAATCTGGAATTTTAGATGCCAGAACAAGCTTTTGTCCATCAGAAAATACAGCATTTGAGATTTTGTCCTCTAATCGTGGCATCTCTGTTTCTTTTGCCGAGAATTCCATTTCAGTCAATCTTCCAGTGGGATTATCCGTTCTTGCTGATGGAGCTGAGACTTCGTGAATGCTACCCGATTCACTAAGAGAATGTGTTCTTCCTTTCTGATCAAACATTTCTCGGCGGAAACCATCTGTATTGCAGGGCAATTACAATCCAAGGAAAGCATGTCGAAAATGGCTAAAAGCAAAAAACCCAAGGGAAAGCAAATAATTACCATCTTTGGGGAAAACATTTCCAAGGGCTATATCGATGTGCAGTTTTTTTGGCATCAAACCATTTCTACGAAAAGGAAATCAGTCAGAGCTTTTCAGAGTAACGATCGCACGAAATTGAGAAAACAAGAGCTTGGGAGACTGTTAAATTACCTGAGAGCTAAGAACACAAGGCACTGGGCTCTGAGCTGCTTCAATTGTTGCTCTTTAAAAAGTGGTCCTGAAGGCATTAAATCCTCTGCTGAGACAGATTTTCCAGTATCTCTGTGAGCTGGAGGCCTGATTGCTGTGACTTCACTGTTTTGCCAGCCACTCTGCCATAGAAATGAACATGCAAACTTTACTCGAGCAAGCTAACGAATATGATTTCAATAAGCAAATAATTGTGTAATGCAAACTGGAGGATCCCCAAAAAGTGTAGTGTAAAGGGATGTACCTGAGGAGTCGTGTATGCATCTGATGACAACCCGACTTGCAAATTCTCAATATCACCTGAGTTTTAATAGCCAAAAAAAAACTACACAATTAAACTAACCAGTTAACATGCATGCATAACTAACATAATAGTAGGTTGCAACGCGGTGTTCTTAACTTTAAAACTAAACCCAAAAAGGGTTGTGTATATATTTCTTGATTTACAAAGATTCTCCATTCTACAAGAAATCATCCTACCTGAATTACCAGGCATTTCCACTTTGCTCACTTTTCTAGTCTGATCATCAACTGTCCCATGAGTATCAAATATTTGAGAATTATCCATATTTTGCTCCCACGAAAATGATGATTCACCCCTCTTTCTCTTTGCACTTGACTTAACATCTCTTTGATTCATTGTCTCACTTCTATCTTGAGATTGAGAATTCCCCGACTTAGAATCCAAGCTGGATGGACTCTCATGATCAAAGGATCTATTACTTCGAGTTCCAGACCCTTGGTAAACGGCTTGTGATGCACTGATTGATCCACCAAGCTGCCTACCAGAAGTGAATGCATCATATTTCGACATCTCATTCTCAACTAGACTCGCTTTGGACTCATTGCTAACTCCAACGACTTGGGAAGACCCTGTATGAAAATATAACAAAACAATAAGACCAGCACAAGAATTTTCATATAAGAAACAAAATTCTAAACTGAACCACAAGAGAAGAAATGAATATACCAGCCAAATGTGCAGACCCAGAATCTTCCATTTGGGTACCACCAGCGTGAGGAAGACGAGATGACTTCAAAGCTTCAATGTCAAGACCATGTTGATTGACGACGGTCTCCATGGCCCTTGGAGTTTTGGAAAGAAAATATCAGAAGAACTAGAGTGAAAACATGAACAAGAGTGATAATTCTCAAAATCATGAATCGCAGCTTTAACTCCGAATAACAATATGGCACATAGCAAGTGAAATGCGACTTTCATGAAAGCTGATGTACTAAACCCAGCAGCAATACCTCGATATGACTTGATACGGCATTGAGTGTTCCTTTCCGCTGGTTTTCATGTGCTGCAGTATCTGAAGTAGTCAAAAGAACAAATGAAGTTACAGCAAAGGCTTATTAAAGCTTAAAACACAGATGAAGCAAACACCAGGTTAAGCTACATTACCACATAAAGTTTTGTTGCTAGCTTGGCAGGTTCATCTTTGGAATCTTGAATGAGCTTGTGCAGAAACTTAGCTGCCTCCAACTCAATATTATGAGGAGATGTCATCTTAATAGTTTTACACCAGTATGTACATCATGTGAGAAACCCCTGCATCAGAGAGCATCCAAGTATTAATCTTACAACCGAGAACAAAAACAAAAGCTATCACAAACAAGGGTATTTCCAACCAAATGATTTTGTGAAAAGGAAAACAAAAGACATGACATCCGATCCCAAACGAAAGTAAACCTAGAGGAGCAAGAATTACAAATATCATGCTCATCTCTGGCCATATCTGACTCTATTTAGACCTCGAGAAAAAACCCAAGCGAAAAGAAAGTTTTTTTCCTAAGCAAGGAGACAAACAAAAAAAAAGGCATCTCATTCTGATAGTGACGGAGAGAACTCAAATGATGAAAATTGACGAAAATGAGTTCGAAATGGCCTTAAGCAAAGCTGTGCTTGTATCTTCTCTTCGTAATTAAGCTAACGGAGCGATAATCCCCGAAAAAGAAGAGAAAAGTCGATGAATTTCTCTCAGTAAATGCAACCAAAATTATATGCAACCCAAATCAAACAAGAGTGACAACAAAACCCTAAATAGCGATCAAACAGCAAAGAGGAAGAAGGAAGAGGTTTACCCAGTTAGAGATCTGCCTGTAGGAGACAAAGCAGAAGTTTAATTCCAGGAACAAACGTTGAGCTGAGAAGTGAAGCCGTGTGCGAAATGGCGTCGTCGCTTTGAGAATCAAGAAAAGAAAGCGCACCAAACGACTCACAATTGTTATATTTCTAAGGGCTAAATATAAATCTTTTTCTTATAAAAATTAGTAGTAGATAAATAGTAAATTACTCGTATACACTGAAAAATTTACATTTGAATTTACATGCTTAAATTCAGTATGCTACAGAAAATAAATAAAAAACTTGTTACTTAACTAGATATTTATTTGTTGTTATATATGATGATGATAGAGACTTCAAAACTATAATATTTTTTAAATATCAAAATATTATCTAAACTGATTTTTGAAACCGAAAAAGATTATTGATTTATCAAAACATCAACTGTTGTAGATTTTTCTGTTGGATGTGATTGATAGTTTCTTAGACTTTCTTAAGTGAATTAGATCGTAAATCCCACATAATCAAAACTAAATTTTATAACTGATATTCTATAATTAATTTTAAAATTGATGATATTTTTTGGGGAAAAATAAATAAAAAGTTGACTATTCAACAAGACGTGGCAATTAGTATCTTTGCCAACAAAAAACCATCTCTTCTTCTTCTCTCAGAGGTTTTTAAGTTGAGATCATTTCTCTTCTCCTCCCTCCAATCATCTCGGAAATAGCTCCAATGGATCCTCCTTTTGGCCACCACCATCACCACCACCACCACCACGACGGCGAAGATGATCGTCAATCCTTCCCCCCTTCACCGCCACGCAACAATTTCGCCGGTGCTCCACCACCCCCTGGCCTTTACCAGCCACCGCCTCCTCATTTCGATCCCTACGCGTCGTCTCCTCCAGCTCCGGCGCCTTACCGATCGGAACCTCAATTCGATCCCTACGCGCCGTCTCCGCCGGCACCGGCGCCTTACCGATCAGAACCTTATTTCGAAGCTCCGTCGCCGCCGCCTCCGTTTGGTCATGTGAGCCATGTCGGCCACCACACATCCAACGAAACCTACCCACCGGAGCACCACCGTTACGGAGGTTACCCGCCGACTAATTCGGCTCTGGAAAGCCACGGAGACCACACTGGCGTCACGCACGTGTCTCACCATAGCTCACATCAGTCCGATACGCCTTCTGGTTTCCACCACCACCGTCCTGATCAGAACCGTCTTCCTGATAATCTCGCCGGACTCGCCGGAAGACAAACGGTGAAGGTTTATTCCAAGGCGGAGCCTGACTACTATCTGACTATCAGAGACGGTAAGGTCATTCTCGCTCCATCCGATCCATCTGATGAAGCTCAGGTATCACATCGTCTCTCTCACCACGATCCAACTACCTTTTTTTCTTTCATTTTTGGATCTTGTTGATATCAAGCAGCTGCAATTCTTGCTGATTTATTGATTTGGATAATAAGAAAAAAACACTGGTTTGATTCATATGCATCTCAATTTGTTGACTCACTTGAGAATCTGAGTAATTTGGAATGATTTCATAGCTTTTGTCATGAAAGATTGAATCTTTTTGGTTATGATTTAGAATGCAGAAACAGGTTTTAGTTTTGGGGGTTCAAATTCCAAAGATCTTGTTTTTATTTCATTCGTGGGTAGATTTTCTCAGAAATGTGTGTTTACAATGCGCAGCACTGGTACAAAGACGAGAAGTACAGCCCTCGAGTGAAGGACGAAGAAGGTCATCCTTGTTTTGCTCTTGTAAACAAGGCCACTGGTGAAGCCATGAAGCATTCTGTGGGAGCTACCCATCCCGTAAGCTAACAAACAAAGCTATAATTTGTTACATTAAGTCATAGGCTAGTTTTGGTAGACCTATAGCTAAAGTTTGAGCAGCTGAACTTCTCCAAGTAGCTAGACTCACTGTGTCTCATAGTTGGCCATGCATTTTTGTTCATCTTCTTTTTTCTTGCAGTCGCGTGTTTATGCAATATGTTGTTGTGTCTTTGGGTGTTGCAGGTGCATCTAACCCTATATGATCCTGATAAGCTCGACGAGTCTGTACTGTGGACAGAGAGCAAGGATCTTGGAGACGGGTATCGCAAAATAAGGATGGTGAACAATGTGAGGCTAAACGTTGATGCATATCACGGTGACAGAAAATCTGGTGGTGTCCGTGATGGCACAACTATCGTCCTTTGGGACTGGAACAAAGGAGACAACCAACGTTGGAAGATCTTTCCTTTCTGTAAGTTTTGATTTGCCTTTCTTCTGCTTGGTTTAGAAATTGCTCGACTTGGATCAAACTAGAGACCATGAGGTAGAATATGAACTGGAACTGGTCATAAGAAGGACTAGAACTGTAATGAGCTAATGTCTCGATCAAGTTGTGACATGACTTTGACACAGCCATGGTAAAAAGTGGTTGTGTGTATGATCCTCGTTTTAACTGAGTTATTGTAAATGCAGGAAAATCGGCGGGTGGAGTGGTTAAAAGTGGTTGTGTGTATTATATATGAATAAGAAAGAAAGAATAGTGGCCATTTGTTAATTTTTGTGTTGTAAGACTTGAGTTTGTGCCGTTTGCATCTGTAATATATTTTACTTGTATCCCAAGTATGCATTCTTACAGATTTACATACACTGTATGCGATTTATTTTACTTTTTTCATAATGTATTGTGAAATCTCTAAATTTTCTTTTTGCTTAAAAAATCTTAAATTTCTAGTAAAAAGTAAAAATAAAGTCTGCTATAAAATTTGTTAGGAACAATCTCTTAAATGTTTGAAAAAAAATATGTAGATATTAGAAACGTGAAGCGTTTGTCGTCTTCTTCTCTTTTCTATTTTCTATTATAGATAGAAATCACAGATTTTTTCTTTAATTATGTTGATATTTTAGCAGACTTGCGCGCACGTTTATTTGCGTTTCTATCACAGCTCATTTAATATATAGTTCTAGTTCTGTCCAAGAGAAATCGATGTACTGTATACGTAAAATTTTAAATTTAGCAGTGTTGTTCTATTAGTAACTATAACAAAATACGACCATTAGCTTACGTAGACATCACTAAAGTGTTACAAGTGTTAGTTTGATGGAGCTTGGTTTGGCTAATCATCGACACAAACTTAAACTATTTGGACCAAGATTGTCGTCATTCATCAAGGTTTTTTAGTTATGATCAAAAAGATAGAACGTTATTGGTTTGGTTAGACCAACCCCAAACCGACAGAAGATCTATCTAGAAAGTAAAGCTTATTATTCCAACAACATACGATAAAAACATCTCCCATACATTAATTCGCCATGTTTTGCCCTTCAAGCCGTGCTTGAGTTTGGAGTCTTTACAGGCCTCGCCGATCCTTCAACGTTGTCTGATCTTGCATCAGGCAATTCAACGGCCACGATTGCGACTTCGTTAAGATTGGTTTCATTTGTTGGTTGGGTCTTTGTAGATGTGAGATTTGCCAAATCCGTTTTCCTCGAATGATACATCATGTATAGTATCATCTGAGCTATGCCGAATAGAAAACCGAGAATGTTTGGCATCTGAAGACAAAACAAGTAAAACGTTAGAGAGGAGTAATTAATAAAAATGAAGAAATACGAATGTGAAAATGTAATTAATAATATCCATTAATTTACAGCAATGAACTTGTCCTTGATAAGAAGTCCATAAAAGAACCACATGACGGCGTTAAGAGTGAGAGACAAGGAGAGAAGAAACGGCATGTATTCCACACTCTTTGTCCTTATAACTTTCCTCTGCAATAAACAACACATCACACGTTGTTTTTTTTTTTTTTCAATTTCCACAGTTCATGATATAATAAGAAAAACGACATGATGTTTGAAGAAAGCTGATGGATCACCATGACGCTTAAGGGAGAAGCAAAGACGGCGAGACTGTAAGCAGCACAAACCCATCCAACGGTTGAGACACGGTTTGGTTTTGGAACCAAAAGATCAACGAGAAGAATCAAGAGACCAAGTCCACCGATGTTGCATATCACTATCAACTTCAACGTGAATATCTGCCACGTGTACGTCCACGTTAATCATAAATATATTATATATAGATTAATAGATATCACAATCAAGATCATAGGAAGTAGGTGTGGAGATATAAACCAATTACTGAAGTGAACTTAAACTACCAATTTGAAATGTGCCTACAATTTAAGCTTATTAAAATCAGCAGAAATTGCATCAAACAGTATCGAACTGAACCAAAAACATATTTATCTTTTCTATTTAGTTATGAATTTGCAAACTAGGAGATTTAGATGGTAACCTTGGCCTCTCTTGGTGCGTAAATGATATAGATGAGTAAGTAGGAGATTTCGATGAAACATCCAAAGGTGTTGATGCTAATGATGAGATAAGCATGTTTCTTCATTATTCCGTAGTATAGAAGAAGAGTCGCACTTGCGAGTGCACATATGTACGGTATCGACTGAAACCCTTTTGATGATTTCTTCTTGTATATCCCATAGAACGTTGGCCTATCATTTACATATAATCAAATATATTTAATAACAGTAATAATATATATGTACTTTATAAAATAGATTATCTAGTTCACAAATTAGACACTTCATATGTACGTGTCTTACACTGGTGACAAGAATACCCCAAAGGACACAATGTTGCCTGAAAATATAGTTAACAAGAATCAAGATAAGTATTATGAACTTTATTTTAGGTTTAAATGTTCATAAAAGCAAATATCTCTATGCATGTACATGTGCATGTACTTTACTGCTGAGAATATAGTATATGTCAATTTTATCGTTGGATTTTGTTATGGTTTCTAAAGGCCAAAATTCAAAAAGCATAGAATAACAAAAGGATTGAATTACCCAAGAGCCCGAAGAGAAAAGCAAGTTGATGAACCTTGATGAACACCATTCTTCACTTTTCTCTCTTTCTCTCTCTCTCTTGCTAGTTTAATATTTGCTTTGATATAAGTTCCTTCATGCAAAGCCCCCATTTTATATTGGATTTGCTAGGAGAGTGAGTCATTCTTGTTTTTTCATTAAATTTTTTTCTTTCTCTTTTCAAACTAGAAACAAGAGTTTGGTTCAAGTTTTCTTGGTTTTTGTTTTTTTGTACAAATGTTTCACTAAGGAGCGCAGATATTTCTTGCAAGTCTCTTAATTGTTGGTGACTTTTGAAATTCTTACCTACCAGCAAATTTGTTAATTTTTCGTTTTACTAATACCAATTCTAATCCAGACTTAATAATAATCGTGTAGATCGAGGAAACCATAATTTATCCTTTTACATATATATTTTGTTGATAAGTTCCTTTTATTTGTAATCAAACTCGAGATTACTAATAGGCATGAAAAATTACGATAAAATTGATTAGGAAAATTTCCGTAATAAATTAACAACAGAAATTCCATTCATATATGCTCCACGATTTCGCGACTATGGCTTGATCGTTGTAATTTGCCCAACCAGTTTTGTTGCAAGATTGAGCTTTTATAGAACAACATAATCTAACTCAGTTTTGAAATGTTTTGTAAGACATATTTTAATTTTGTCACAAAATATTAGGAGAACAACTCCATTACAAGTTTTTATATTTAGCAATCTTTTTTGGTAACGTAAATATGACAAATTTTTGTATATAATCTGACATAAAATTAATAATGTGGCGGAAATCGTAATCCCAATCTCTAATCAAATACAGATAAAAACGAATTAATAGTTCGATGATTGAGATACGTCATACGTGCATGGATTTTAAAAAGTACCCACAAGACTTTATTACTCGTCAAAATCAGATGTAGACCCACTAAAAATACTCACGAGACTAAATCTCACAGTCTCATAGTTACTCACTAAAAAAGTACCCACAAGATTTATTACTCGTCAAAATCCAGATGTAGACTCACGAGACTAAATCTTACAGTCTCACTTAATTAATCTCCTATATGCCCATACTGAACTGTAATCTAAACGTAAACTCTCTCTATGTTATCTACTCATTACATGTAGACATCATTTACTGTAAGAAAAATCAAATATTCGAGCCCATATAATACTTACAATTTCCTTTATGAATTGGTGATCAAATTGAAGATATAAAGATCGTCTTTATAGTGTTGAAGTTGTTCAGTTTTTTTTTGTTGTTGTTAGTGAAAGGTTGAAAGTACGACTGTTAGTTATTATTTTGAAATTTTGTTAAGAAAAAGACAAACAAGTCGATTGAGCCAAACCTAATAATATAATGCAAAAAGGTATTACTTGTGAGGAACCCTAAGATTTGTGGAGAAGCTTAGTGAAATTAATGACATTGAACTTAATAACTAATTAGGTGGTGGCAACGTCTTGTCACTGGTTTTTGTTCCTAATTGTTAGGCCTTCTACGATTAATCCGTCCAAGAAGTTTGCATCAGGCTCAAAACAAATCTTGAATTCGAATCATTTCTGCCAATTAATTAGCGCATATCATACACACATTAAGTAGCAAACAGTGAACATTGTTCAATTTCGTGTATATAACCAAATTGATTTAATTATGTTTGGAGATATTTCTGTCTGTTCTCTTCCCATCACGAATCAGATAATTATAAACTATGACTTGCCTGCATTGTGTTTAGTGTTTACAATCTTCCATAAGTGGTGTAAAGAACCAAAATCTGATCAGATCATATTTGGCTTGCGCATATCACCATGAGAGGATTTGTGACCATATTAATCAATATGTTAGGCACATATAACATATAGATCTATACTATTAACAAAATCTGTACAGAAACTTGAGCAAATATTATTAAATAATAGAATCAAAACGAATTTTGTTAGCATATACTTATGTGTGAGAGATGGAGGCAGAGGCATAGATGTGTTTTAGGCACATGCCTTGAGGCTGTGCTTTGTTTGGGCTATTTCTTTGTTAGATTTTTAATTTGGTAACAAGACATGACAAGTTTTAACATATCGACTGAAATGAAGCATTAATCCTCTAATAAGCTAAAACAATTAATCAAATTAAATTAAGATGATTTTATGTGTTGTGGTTGCGATCGATCGAGACCCCTTCTTTATTTTATTAAATCAGATGAGCCTTTATTTTCGATGATGCATGGAAATGGAATACTGCCGTAGTGGTTGACTAGTTTTCCAATTCTCATATTCAGTAGATAAAATATTTTTAGAGGAAAATTATGATCAACCTAATGACGATCTCGTTCAATACGCAAACACATGAATGGTCAATATTTATATAACCAAACTGATAGTTATCTTGTTGAACTTTAATCAATGGAATGAGCGGATTAATCAAATTTCAACTAGATATTTGTTAAAAAGATAAAAAGCCTGATTAGCCTCTAAATTTGTTAAAAAGATATGAAAAAGCCTGATTAACCTAAAAATACGACGGGATTATGTACAAATACAAACACCTAGTTATTTTACATTCATTCATTCATTCAAAAAAAAAAAAAATACAAACACCTAGTTACCAAAATCAAAAGCATCTTATTTAATATTTTCAAGCTCTGAAACTCTTATTTTGCTTCGAAACAAAGTGAACATGGAATTTATGAAGAATTCTGAATATTTCTCAGCTGTTTAATCTGTTGTATTGTAGTATATATGAGTTTGAACCAAACATAAACAAACAAAAAAAGCTTCACATTTGTGGATTCTTCAGCTCTAGAGGCATTCTCTAAGCAATTATCTAGCTTTCTTGGTCTCTTCTCTTAGCGTACTCCTTCATCATCTCGATTCAAGTAAAAATGGGTATATTACTTGGATACTCCTAAAAAATTGAGCAAAGCTTGGATACTTCGGCTCCCATCCTATTTCCTCTCGTGTCCGTGAGTTGGTCAGCCCAATGCCAGGAGTAGTCAGATCTCTTGTAAACTATTAGGCCCAAGCCCAGATTACACACACACAATTAATGTGTTTTTGTTTCTAGGGGAATCTAATCCGGGTGAAATGGTGTAACACCCCACACGGTTATTTTTACTACTAGACCACAGTCATGCGAGTGCAACAAATACTTTTACTCTAGTATGATCAATACTACTAGTAAATCATAGACTAGCTTATTTACCCT